GAATCATGTAAATACATTCCTCCTAGGATTCAAATCTCAAAATACCAAGGTAGTACTTAAATCTTTTAAAAGAGATACGTGTTTTGTTATTACTTATTTGAATTTTTTACAAGTATACATTACTTCGTAAGAATCAAATGGGGGATACAATTTCAACATTGAAAATGCTAGTGTGCTGGGCTGAGGTTCAAACAAGAGACCTGGACTTCAGTTCCGGTGACTAGGGAGCTGCCTGGGGCCACCAGAAGCTGCTTGTAGAGGCATGGACTCTGATAAGGGCTACACCTCTGACTAACTGAAGTGTAAAATGTGTCAAGGGAACTCTGCTTTGTTCTCTTTTTGCTGGAAAAAAATGTGTGAATATTGTCTTCCAGATTCCTTACATGTCTTCTGGAAGCCTGGACAAGTACTTTTGCATGACAAATGCGTTAGGTAAAACCTATATGGATTTGTGCAAGATCTGCCTGTCTGAATGATTCAGTTTCTGCTGTTTTACTGATTTGAGTCTTTACCTGAGAAAGATCTGTTCAATTCCTTGTTTGCTAATAAATCCATCAAAGGAAGAAAGAAAAGAAGAAAGAATGAGCCAGGCATGGTGGCTCACAATTTTAATCCCAGCACTCAGGAGGCAGAGGCAAGTAGATCTCAGTTCCAGGGGATCTGATACCCTCTTCTGACCTCGGCAGGCATTGCATGACATGGGTGCAACTACATACATGCAGGTAAAACACTCATAAAATACACATAAAATAATAAATAAAACATTATAAATAAATAAATAAATAAATAAATAAATAAATAAAGGCAAGCAGGAAAGCTAGTTTGCCCAGAAGGGGACAGAGTTCTAGACTTTGTTACCCATAGAAGTTATACTAAATATAAATAGGTTCAAAAAAGTTTGCTAATTTTATTTTTTAAAGCATTTTATCGGGGCTGGAGAGATGGCTCAGCGGTTAAGAACACTGGTTGTTCTTGAAGAAGACCCGGGTTTGAATCCCAGCACCCACATGGCAGCTAACAGCTGTCTGTAACTCCAGTCCCAGGGGATCCGACAGCCTCTTCTGACCTCCGTGGGCATTGCACGATACGAGTGCACTTACCTACATGCAGGCAATACAGGCATACACATAAAATAAAAATAATAAATTTTTAAAGCATTTTATTTATTTATTACTTATTTTGTATGTGTATGTGTGTATGCCATAATATATGTGTGGAAGTCAGAGAACAACTTTCAGAAGTTGGTTCTGTCCTTTCACCATTTGGGTTCTGGGGATTGAACTAGGATCATAAGGCTTGGTGGCAAATGCCCTTACCTGCTGAGCCATCTTGCCTTCCCTTGAAGAAAGTTTTAGTACATACATACAGTCTAAGCATTCTCATAGATGTTGGTGATAGGAACATATTAATAGGGAAAGTAAATTTTCAAACTGTGTCAGAGTATGGCACATAAATGGGAAATGCATATGAGAGATGGTGATGTGCAGGAGTAACAAAGATATTTATGTACTTGGCTGGCATGGAGCAGAGTTTCAGTTCTGGGATAGGTATGCTTTTTTCTCTGTTCAACAGATTGTCTTGGGAAACATTTCTCTAGAAATGCTTTAGAGATAATTATCCCCATCTTCAATATCATCCATATCATTTATGCATGGCATATATGGAAAGTGACTTTTGGTGGGGGAAAGGGAAAATTAGGCACTTCTACAGTCAATTGGAATTTAAATACTGTTTCCCATGAAGTGTGACTTTGTTCTAAGAGCTCAGGAAAACAGTATTCTCACTAGTTCTACCTCATGCCTCTAGGATTAACCCCAACCTGCAGAACCATATATGAGTGGGCCATAGCTACTTATTTATGATCCATTTATTTTTTTGGATTTATTTTTATTTTATGTGTATGAGTGTTTTTGCAACACTCATGTGCAATCATGAGGGTGTCAGATCCCCTAGAACTGGAGTTACAGATAGTTGTTAGTCGCCAAGTGGGTACTGGGACCCAAATCAGCATCCTCTGCAAGAGCAGCTAGTACTCTTAACTACTGAGCTGTTTCTTCAGCCCCACCATCCATTTCTTGAAAACTATCTACGAGCAGCTTGGTTTCCCTTCAGGTTGGAATCTAGAGGTAATTTAAATTCCACTCCACAAGCACAGTGGTACATATTTGTAGCCCTGTAGTTACTGGAGAGGGTAAGGGAGAAGGATCACATGAGCCTAGGGGTTTGAGAGGAGTGTGGGCAATATAGCCAGAACCTGTTTCAGAGCAAAAGAATACTCCACTCCATGAACATTACTTAGCAGCTAATTTCTTGTATTTGCTATATTAATAAAAGGTTTAAAGGAGAGAAAGTGTGACAAATGTATGAGGGAGGGGGAAGGAGGAAGAGACAGAGAGATGTAATGTATCTTAAGAAGGCAATAGAGAAAACAAAACTGTTTGCCAGGACAAGTCACTTCTCTGAAGACTAGGATAATGAATTGGTGGCTTATACAAATACCAGATTTCTTACTGGGTCTATTTTCCCATAATGTCTTATGTTTTAAAGAAAGAAATGACCCAGACCTCAGATCCTTTAAGAAAACTCTTATTTGGCCACCAAGGCGTATGCCTAAAATCCCAGCACTGGGTGGGAGACTAAGGTATGAGGATTTAAATTATGACTTTCAGTCTAGCCCAAGCTACAGAGTGAGACCCTATCTCAACAAAACAAAACAGAACAAGAACAACAAAAACCACACCCCCAAACAACAAAAGAAACTTCATAATCATTTTTTGCTTCAGATAAATTGATATTATCTGAAATAAAAAGTTTATTTCAATTTCAGTAAGACCATTATTCAAGCTAAAAAAAAAAGTTGTGGGGTTTTGTGAGATTTTTTAAACTATATTTTCTTTACATTTTTTAAATTAAAATTTTTTTGGTCTTTTTGAGATAGGGTCTCCCTGTAGCCCCAGCTGTCCTGGAATTCACTATGTAGAACAGGCTTGCCTTGAATTCACAGAGATCGGCCTGCCTCTGCCTCCCAAGAGCTGGGATTAAAGGCGTGTGCCACCACGCCCGGCTTAAATTTAATTTTCTGTGTATGTGTGTGATGCTTGGATCTATGTAAGTGCACCCGTCCATGCCATGTCCACAGAGGCCAAAAGGCGGGGTTGGACCCCTTGGAACTAGAGTTACAGAAGATCATTAGCCACCCCTGGTTACTGGGAACCAAATCCAGGGTTGTCTGCAAGAACAGCCAGTGCTTTAAACCACTGAGCCATGTCTCCAGTGCCTTACTATATTTTCTATCTTGCCATATTCCAAATATGGAAAAAGAAGAATTTTCTGGCCAACTATACAGTGATTACTTGCTGGTTCTTTCTGATTGTCAGTTTTATACATAGAACTCCAATTTGTAAGAATATATTATATTGCAATTGACATTGATCAAATACTGTGTAAAATTCTGGTTTACAGGTAAAGAAACTGGAGAGGGCCCAGAGGAAAATAATGACCATGACTTTAGTTTTGAGTAATGGCATCCAGAACCAAAATAAAATAGGTAAACTTCACTAAGTATTCTGAATCTTAAATGCCCTCTTTATTTTCCAGTTTTTCAAATGTGAATAAACCTAAGTATATCAAAAGACCACAGAAATTTTGAAACCAGTTAAAAATAATAGGACTGTGTAGAGATCTGTTCCATGATACATCGCTCCCAGATCTTTCCCATCATTTATTCATTATTCATTCAACAGATATGTATTTAATGCCTACTATTTGACAGTCAATGTTCTAGGCACAGAGAAATCTGTCCTGCAGCTCACATTTCAGAGGGGAGAGAGATTCCAGAAACAACAGTAACATAACAAACATGATATATATATATAGAGAGAGAGATCTACATATATAGATATATCTATATATATATCTATATCTATCTATCTATCTATCTATATATCCGTTTGGAAGGTGATTTAAAATCAGAGTAAGGTAAGGAGATCATACATAGGAATGCTTCAATTAAAAAGTGCAGTAAAACCAGGCATCTTTGAATTAAATACTGATGAGCAAACTGATAAAGATGACACAGTTCTGTTGAGGTTGATGGGAAAGAATGGTAATCATACTTTACATTTATCTTATGATATACAGTTTACAAAGCTGTGTCACTCAGTCAGAGGTACTGAAGGAGTTAATAAATTACGTTTTGTCAGAGAGTCCATTCACACAAACGTATATCCTTAGCTGTCTGGAGCTAAGGAGTGATATTTGAGACATGGTTGATCTGAAATCAGTGTGAAGTGGAAACGAATTAGTGAGCCTGCCAACAGAGAGCAGAGCAAAAAGAGGTCAAGGGAGACCCTCACTACTGAATGTCCACATGTTAGGGAATGTCCACATGTTAGGCGGTGAAGACCAAGAAAAACGAAGAAAGGTTATTTTTTTTAATACTGATGGGACAGCGTTTTTTAAAATCTCTTTATTCTGTCTTATTTCTTCCTGAAATGCGTGCTAGTTTATTTAATGACAAAAGTCTCGCTGCACCACACACTTTTTCGCGTGGACGGGAACCAACATTTTCCGAGCGTCCCTTGCATGCCAAGTGTTTAGGGCTCCAAACCCCCAAGTTGTTACCTTCCACACTCCATTTATCTCCACGTTTTAATACCCTTGCCACCTTCCGCGGTGCCAATTCCCGGAGGTCAGAAGCATAGGGAAGACCCTACGGATAGCAAAGGATTCGGCTCGAAGGAAAAGCAAATCAGATATGGAATTAACAGAAAACAACTACCGAGATTCTGAACCAGGTACCCACAGTCTCCACCAGCACCGCCAGCTCGGCTCTCGTCTCCGCCCTGCCTTCTCCATAAGTTCCGCCCCTTACCAGAGTCCTGGCGCTTATTTGTCGGTGCCCTTCACCTTCGCTTTCCCATTGGTCCCATTTCCTCCTGTTCGTTCAACGCCTTTCGCTCGGCTCCGCCCCTCACAGAGAAACTGCACTGCGCAAACTCGAAGAAGGCCCTGGCTGACCTTTTTCCGTGCCGTTTTCTCCTTCTTCCTGGCATTTGTGTTTCCGTGTTCTCAGGGCTGGTAGGTTTTTGCTCCGCCCTAACACTTCGCGCCCAGCGCTCCAGTGACGTCATGTTCCTGCGCTGCGTGGACGCCCGCCGGTGGAAGGAGGAATAGCTAGCTCAGCGGCCCTTTGCCTCTTTTGTTGGGCTGTCGCTCCTTCCTAATCATGGCGCCATCTCTGTGGAAGGGGCTAGTAGGCGTTGGCCTCTTCGCCCTAGCCCATGCTGCCTTTTCTGCTGCTCAGCGTAAGTGGCACGGGGACGTGGACTGTTCGCGCGTGGGACCCCTGGAGCAAAGTGGAAGCGCTCCCCTAAGGGGCTGTTGGGCCGAGTGCAACAGAGATGACCATTTGAGACCTCGTGATTTGGGATGACTCAATAGAGCAGTGCAGGGTCCACGGTGGAAGGTTTGGAATTAGAGGGTTGTGGTACAACTGAGATTGCAGAAAGGTTGCTAGGGGTTTGAGAGACGCTTCGGAGTAGGAGTCTTAACCCGGAACTTGATCAGGACAAGGGATGTCAGATCCAGCAGAAGACAGACCAGACAAAGTTTGGGATTGAGAACTTTGGATGCTTGTGATCTCATGACAGCTAAGTAGACAGCATCCTGGGCACTGCTGTCCAGGCAGAGACTGTGAAGTTAAGTGACCAATTGCCTCAGGGAGGCACTGTGACATGGGGAAAGAGCAGTGGACTGGGAGCCTGAAGGGCTGCCTGTTAAAATCTTGCTCAACCGTTAAATCAGTGTGACATTGAGCAAAAGACACGTGCTATGCTGCATTATAACATTTAATCTCGGGTCTTCCGTTGAAGTTGTTCTGTGTTAAGGTGCTAGAGGTACCGTGATGCCATAAGGGAAATCATAGGCGGATCATAGGTGAATCAAATGCATCAAGAAATAATTACAGTAAAATGATACGGATGTACTAAATGGTGTCTTTATATATGTATGTATGGGCAGTAGCGTTGGAAGGACCTGGGGAAAGTATACTAGAGCCTTACTGCTCATAGTGTGGTCAGTAGACTAACATCATGATTATCACCTGGGAGCTTGTTAGAAGACACCCAGGCTCCACGTCAGACCTACAGAATGAGAATGTGTATTTTAATAGATCCCTCAGTGATTTGCATACACATTAGTTTACGAAGCATTGTCCTGGAGATTAGAATACACTAGAGTACTGTATTATTTTCTACAATAAGCTTAGCTGTAAAATTATACAATCTTAGAGCAAGGGAAGCCCTTGCTTGAAGTCCAACCCCTTCATTTAATCAAGGAATTTGTAGTCCATTTTTCTTTCTTAAAATGCATGTAAAATCAATATGCCAAAGAAGTGGTTGGCTTCTATGCTACAAAAAGTAATGCTAATCCCAGGTTCCTCAAAAACCTCTTCTATTACAGTCAGCCTTATCTCTATGAACTGCTTCAGGCTCATCGTGGCCTGTTTTATCATCTTGCGTGAGTGACAGATGGTCAAGCATGAAGCCTAAACAGCTAAGCATAATTTTTCTTTCAGTAGTGCAGAATATCTAGAAATTCTGAAACTCTTTCACCAAATGATCAAACAGATCATAATTACTTAAAAATCAATAGGGGGCCTGGAAAGATGGCTGAGTGGTTAAGAGCACTGGTTGCTCTTTTAAAAGACTGGGGTTTGGTGCCCAGCACCAACACGATAGCTAACAACCATTCCTAACTCCAGTTCCAGGAGATCTGATGTCCTCTTCTGGCCTTCATGGATATTGCAGGCAAAGCACTCATACACATAAAAAACAAGTAAAATTTTAAAAATAAGATAAAAATCAATACGACTACAAAAACTTTAATCCTGGGGCTGGAGAGATGGCTCAGCGGTTAAGAACACTGGCTGTTCTTGCAGAAGGCCCGGGTTCGAATCCCAGCACCCACATGGCAGTTAACAACTGTCGGTAACTCCAGTCCCAGGGGATCCGACAGCCTCTTCTGACCTCCAAGGGCATTGCACTCGGATGCACTTACCTACATGTAGGCAATACATGCATACGCATAAAATAAAAATAATAAATAAAATTAAAAAAAAAAAAACCTTCAATCCTGAATGATACTGCTAGGGCATAATGAAGCCAGAGTGAAAATAGGTACAGACACGATTCTCTTCAGTGGAGTGGTGCAACTAAAATTCCAGGACTTCCATTTCTGGCTCTAATACCACTTAATTCTGCAGTTGCTGTAACTTCAAGGTGGCAAGGGATGAAGGGAAGCGATCAGGATTTGCAAGTTGTTAACCTTGAATCATACCACCACCAGCTCTTCAATTTTTCTGTATTTTATTGTATCTCACTCACCAACTCTAATATGTGTTCAAACACAGCGTAAAAATCTGAAAGTGAGAAGTGTTTTTTAGGATCAAAGAGATGCAGAACCTTTCCACTGGCTGAGTTTCCACAATTGTAAAATGGGAATAATGTGACAGGTAAACAGGATTTAGACTGCACTACTATATCAAAGGTCACTATGGCAAAGATGTGTATGCTACAATAACATAGGATGCCAGCTGATGCGATATCACATGACACAACTAGTGTCAAAGGCAAATACTAGTCTTTTGCCAACATGAAAATTGTAGAGGACTCATTACAATGACAAATTCACAAGGAAGTCTCATCACTTGAAAAATAACACAAAATCCTGTAGTCATCCGTTGCCTCTGGCTCTGAACCCTGGTAAGTTGATCATGCTCCAGGGGTTGGCCTTACACCTGAGTATTTTCAGAACACAAACTTGATGAGATTTGAAAAAAAAGTGGACATGTAGTTGGTGGGGTAGGGAGGTGGGGGTGCATCTGAGAGGAGATAGAGGAGGGGGCAGCATGTGATCAAAATACATTGTATGAAACTCTCAAGGGATTAATAAAAATATTATTAAAAATATACAATCTTAATTCTAGATTAAGTAGAACAATGCCTACTTAATAATATACTTTGAACTTAAAATATTGCGATTCTTTTGAGTGAATGTGTACTGAGTCTTTGTTAAAAGAGCATGTTTTCAAACATACTAAGGTTTTAATTTTTATGCATTTATTTTTCCCTGGAGTTACAGATGGTTGTTAACTGCCATGTGGGTGCTGGGAACCAGTGCTCTTAACCACTGAGCCATCTCTCCAGCCCTCAGACATAATAAGTTTTAACTTACAGAGCTTCTAAGGGCAGGTTTAAAATCAAAATCAAACCAATCCCCAAAGTAGTTTTGGATTAACCTTCTACTGTCCCACTTCCAGCTAGCTCTCGTTTTAATGAAGTCTAACCTGACACTTTAACACTACCTTTGACACTAGGCTTCATGCTTGACCATCTGTCACTCACACAAGATGATAAAACAGTCCACAGTGAGCCTGAAGCAGTTCATAGAGATAAGGCTGACTGTAATAGAAGAGGTTTTTGAGGAACCTGGGATTAGCATTACTTTATGTAGCATAGAAGCCAACCACTTCTTTGGCATATTGATTTTACATGCATTTTAAGAAAGAAAAATGGACTACAATTTCCTTAATGGTATGCTTTTGGTTTATAGATCGTTCCTATATGCGACTAACAGAAAAGGAAGATGAATCACTGCCAATAGATGTAAGTTGGTCATTTAGATTTCATTAAATATATATTTAAAATTAGTCACTTTGCTTATGATAATTCTTTTACTTTTTATTTTCTTTAATTTTATCATTTTCGAGCATGACATATAGCATCTGTTATCTGCTTTTCATTGCTCTGTAAAACCTAAAGATTTTTTTGAAATCTTTAAAAAATTTCTCTAGTAGATTTTTTTAACTGTAGTTGAAATTATCTTTTTGGTCGGACATGGTGATTCACACCTGTAATCCCAGCCCATGGAGGCATTGAGGCAGGGGTAGTGTTGTCAGTTTGGAGTCAGAGTAAGACCTTGTATTAAAAACCTAAAAACTAAAAGCAGAAAGGAAAAAAAAAAACCTGTATAGAAGTGACCATGCCCACAGTATGAGATGACCTTAAAAAGTTGGATATTTGGGGAGCTGGAGAGTTGACTCAGTGGTTAGGAGCACTGGCTGCTCTTGCAGAGGACCCAGGTTTGCTTCCCAGAACCTACATGGCTGCTAACAAACCTGTTTAACTCCAGTTCCAGAGGATCCAGTGTCCTCTTCTGACCTCCAGCAGCATTGCATAATACTGGGTGCACTTACATACATGCAGTCAATAAACTTGTACGCATTAAAAAATTAAAAATGATAAATAAAATATTTTTAAAGGCTGATTATTTGCCTCAAATTTATATAAAAGTTCTTTTTTAAATTATATTTAATTTTGTTTGTAGTCTGTGCATGCCACATCATGAGTGTGGTGGTCAGAGAATCAGTTCTCTCCTTCCAATATATGGGTCTAAGGAATCCATCTGGCCAGCCCAGATGTTCCTTATTAAAATAAAGTTTAATAAATAAAGTTGATAATATATTGTTTATAGACACAAATATGTGATAAAACTAAAGGTGTTTTTTCTAACCTGAATTAATACATATTCCCCACTTCACTTATAATTTCCTATCTTTATTGGATTAGAACTTAGGAAAGTAGTAAGTACTTCATAACAGAATTAAACAATAGGTGTGAAAATTTAAACTGACAATACAAAGTTAAAGCAATAGTAACAACAGAACTCACCCCAATTCTTGATCGGTAACCATTTACTCTCTCTCCTCCTCTCCTCCCCTCCCCTCCCCTCTCCTCTCCTCTCCTCTCCTTTTTGAGACAGGGTCTCACTGTAGCCCCAGCTGGCCTAGAACTTGCTGTGTAGACCAAGCTGATCTCTATCACACAGAGATTCACCTGCCTCTGCCTCCCAAGTGCTGGGGTTAAAGATGTGCACCACCATGCCTGGCCACATTTGCTCTTAATAGTTTAAAGTGCATCAGTACTGTAAACTTCTTGCTATGTATAACCAATGCTAGTACTTTTTTTGTATATGTATTTTGTCGTACTTAATCAAAACAGCTCTTTTAGGCTGGCAAGATGGCCCAGTGGGTACAGGGGCTTGCCGCCAACCCTGAAGATCTGAGTAATTCCTGGGAACCCACATGATGGAAGGAAGAAACTAACTCCCACAAGTTGTCCACTGACTTCCACACTTGTGGCTGGCATGCATATACGTAAACACACACACACACACACACACACACACACACGCACACACAGATATGAAACAAGCAACAAATTAAGGTTAAAAACAACCCTTTTTTTCCTCTAAAAATCATTACACATGGGTATATGTTGTATGTGCTTTTGTAGTTAGCTTTTTTCTATCTTTTTTTGAGACTCCTGATTCTGCTGCTTCCGTCTCCTGAGTGCTGAGACACTGACTTTATAGTTAGCCACTACACTGTGCCACAACACTGACGTTATAGTTAGCCTTTTTTGGACATAATTTGTTTGCAACCTATTTTCATGGCAGTTCATAGACTTAGCACATTCTTGCTTACAGTACATTATATGAAAGACAATCTCCTTGGTGCTAGGGATAAAACTCAGTGGTAGAGCGTTTGCCTAGCATGCACAAAGTTGTGTTTGTTCCTCTGCATCCTATACATTGCGCACAGTGGCACAAGTGTGGAATCCTACCACTTGGGATATAAAGGCAGGAGGATCAGAAGTTCAAGGTCTTCCTTGGCAACATGTCAGACTGAGACCCTTTCTCAAAATATTTTTTTTTAAAAAAGACAATTTCCTTGCTATATCGGTGGTTGGAATGTAAAATAACATTATAGATGACATTGGGTTTTCAGTAATAATAGCCTATGGCTAATTTTGACTTTTAAGTTGTTTATAATCAAAGATACAGTATAAATGACTGTTAACTTATCTTCCTGTCACCTCTTTTTGGTAGTTACACAAAACACATATATTCATTTCTATCTGTTTTAAATAACTTTAATATAGTTATGGCAAAAATTGTCAAATTTTAAAGATTTGATTAATCACATGACAATAGTCCTATAATCCTACATTGGTTAATTTCAAACATTCAGCATTATTGCTTGCACAACCTCTTTGGAAAGCAGTTTGGTGTTACGTAATACACGGGAACATGTGCATAGCCTGCACTCAGTTTCCACTCCTGTGTACCAGGAAACATGGAAGAATATTCGTGTTGACAATGCAAAAATAGCAGGAAACATCCCACATTCCCTGAAATAATGGACTAAATTGTGGTATTTTCAGATGATGAAATTCTAAACACAATGAAAAAAACTAGACTACTATAGCCCAGATGAATCTCACAAGGACAATGTTGGAGAAGATAGCTAGATTCAAAGGAATATACTTGTGTTCACTTAAATGAGATTCAAAAGGAAACAGTAGGATACTATAGATGTCCATAAATAATTCATAAACAGGAGGAAAATTGTCAAGAAAAGCAAGGGACTGATTAACACACAATTAGGGACAGAAGTTAACTTTGAGAAGGAGGGTAAGGAAATAATGGGAAAGGGACTTGAAAGGTTCTGGTAAGCCAGGCTTGGTGGCACATGCCTGTAATCCCCACACTTGAAGAGGCTGATGCAGTCCATTGCCAGTCCAATGACAATATAGTGAGGCCCTGTTTAAAAAAAGATGAAGAAAGAGAGCAAGAAGCTAGGAATTTCTTTAGCTGGATGGTGGGTAAGTGCTTTTTATTGCCTTTCTTTACATTGTGCCAGTATGCTTCATGTCCTCTCTGATACTGACCAGTAACATTACAAAACAATTGTAGTTGTTCTTGGAAACAGATACTGTTCAGTACTTGAGTTCTAAGTGGCTTGGTACCATTCAGGACTCGGGTCATTTTGCTTATTTGAGCATGCTAAGCCTACTAAGTATCAGAAGTATTGTAGTTAGAAAATTTTCTTGGGTTTGAGTGCAAATCATTTTATGTGAGAATTGACTCCTTGATGAATGGCCCTGACAGAAAACCTTGATAGATGTCACGTGGAGAGGGAAAAAGGATTGTAAATTTTTCAAAGAGTATTTGTATGCTATTTGGTAATCTCCGTGTTCATACTCACAGATAGTTCTTCAGACACTTCTGGCCTTTGCAGTGACCTGTTATGGCATAGTTCATATTGCAGGGGAGTTTAAAGACATGGACGCCACTTCAGAACTAAAGAATAAGTAAGTTCGTTTTCTGAAGTATTTCATTTCAGGGGAATTCATTTTGCTGAGATTATTTACTGTATCTTTTCTGCTACATAAAAGTTGATTTTGTTTTTACCTTTTGGTTATGTAGTTTGTAGGCATAATGAGGTAAAAATATTGAGCCAATGTTTGCTATGATAGGAAAAATAGAAGTTGAAAGCCAGGTGTGGGGGCAAATGCCTACAATCCTAGCACTTTGGAGGCAGAGGCAGAGGCAGAGGCAGGAGGATGATGAGTTCCAGAACAGCCTGGACTATACAGGAAAACCCTGTCACAAACCAAACCAAAGTAAAAAAGGACTGAAAAGAAAAATAGAGGTTGAACACCTGGTTATTAGTATCAGATTAAGGTATGAAGTCATAGTAGCTGCCAGTGACCTACGATTTCTAGGTGGCTGGAGTGATAAATGGATGGAAGTAGATATCTAGAAAGATAGGACCTCAGAAATTTTAACCCAGCTCCTTCCTTTCCCTCCTGTCTCTTCTCCGTCTCACCACTTCTTCCCTTCATCCTTGTGTCTTTGCCCCCTCCTTTCTTATTCTTTGTCCTATTGTCCCAGATTACTTTGGAAAAAAAAGTGATTTTCTGTCTCCTCTATCACTTGAACCTGATCTGTGCCATTCACTCTGCCCTCAGGCCTCCCCTTTCTATGTCCAGATTAAAGAATATTTGTTATTCTGTTTTTTTCTCCTCTTCTAAGCTGTCTTCACAAGCTTTTGTTTGCTTTCTTGCTCCATATTTTTACTCCAGTTTGTTCAATTCCATCTCTGAACTTTAGCTACCTTCTACCTTACCCTCAAAATGACAACTATTTACAACATTTTCTTCGAAGGATTCACAGGAAAGATCTGTGTGCTAGAGGAAGCTCTTCCCCTCCTTTTACTTCAATATTTCCATTTTAAATAGCCACATATTAGGCCTTCTGTTTGGTATAGGCTATGCTTGAGTGGCTAAGAGTGGTGATCTTTGAGATTTGATTTTTTTTTAAACAAAAATTTACAAATTGTTTATTTGTGGAATTTTCCATTTAATATTGTCAGAGGATGGCTTGATTATGATGAACTAAATCTGATGAAAGAAGAATCATAGATAAGGGAGAACTTTTTGATGTATTATAATAGTATAAGTAATAAAGGTAATAAAAATTAGAATCAAAAGTTTGATGATCCAAACAGCAGTTGGTCTCAGAGGAGATCCTTGTAAGATGGAATGGTAGAAGGCAGAAATAACACATTTGTATTGCACTTTCCATACTACGTTTGGCTGTCTGAGGATATTCATTCATGACTGACTTTAAAGGTATAGAAAAGCATGCAAAGGAAATGGAAATTTTAAGTAACTCGTTTTTTTTTTTCTTCACAAAGGAAGGGTTCTGTTCTTTACGGAAAAAATAATATTTAAAAGCAAACACTACAAGGTCACATCTTGAAATGTTTATGGACTTTCTTTAGATAATACAAATCACTCTGGAAAAGAAGAAAGGTTATTCACTAACTCCCATGCCTTTACAAAGAGTCTTTGAAGGATCCCAGGCAAGAAGCCAGAAAGAAAGAAGCCAAACAGAATGGCATCAAGTAGGGGGTAGCAAAATAATTAAATTTGGCTAATAGCACATTCAGAAGGCCAAAATGAATTTTTCATTGTGCTTGAAAGATTCTTAAAAAGCAGATCCATGAATTGTCTTATGGCCGGAAGAATGAGAGCCAAATGAGACTAATCAAAGCTGTAGTTGATACTGGTTCTGGAGACACTTTATAAGTACTGTTAAGCTGACAGAGGTGGTTGAGGTGAACTAGTATTATTATTGATAGGTAGCTGGAATGGTGAAATTCAAGGAAGTCAGGACTTTATGCTTATTTCCAGGTTTATTTTCTTTGTACAATAAAACATGGAAATACAGTATAATTATCATTTGTAGTCTAATATCGGGGATCTGTTCGTATTTAAAAATAAAACTCAAAGCAAACTCATAGTTTATTAGAAACCTGTTTATTTTTCAAATAGGCTTTTATAAAGGTTTATCTAAAACTGGTGTTTTTTTTTTCTTTTAAGGACATTTGATACCTTAAGGAATCACCCATCTTTTTATGTATTTAACCATCGTGGTCGAGTACTGTTCCGGCCTTCGGATGCGGCCAGTTCTTCAAACCTCGATGCATTGTCCTCTAACACATCCTTGAAATTACGAAAGCTCGAATCACTGCGCCGTTAAGCTTTCTACAAATTAAATAACAGGACAGACACAGAATTTAGTATTGGAGTTTGGGGTGCAAAACACTCCCCCCAACATCAGTATTTATATTTCAGACCGAGTTAAAAAGAAATCTATAGCCCTTATTTGTACATTGTTAATCAAATCATAAATAGTGTATTAAGTTATCTGTGAAATAAGTGTTTGGTCTTTCATATAGAGTTTTTTTTTTTCATTTGAAATAATTCCCATCTTTTGTAAGTCACTGTTTTGAACACACTTCTTTGAAAAATGTTGGAGTTTTGTGATTATTTATTTTCTTAGCTTTCTTTTCATTTGCACTGCAGGTTATAGGAATCCTTTTTGAAGAACCATGTGACTCCTGCATTTTGCAGCAGTTAGTAAAATTGCTTCTCCACGAGACCAAAATGGTGGCCTCTCAGTTTTGACGTATCCTTAAAAAGTGGCTCTGCCTTCGCAGGTACTTGCCAATTTTCAGTTTATCCATGATTTCTTACTGGACTCCGCTCCCAGAGACCTTCTAACATCAGCTGTCTTGTTTATCATTTCTGAGATTCTGTGTGCAGTGAACAAGTTTTGTGTCAGAAATTCTAGTGTAACAAATATATTTAACAAGTTCAACTTGTGTAAAGCTACTTGTGTTGTTTTGTTGTAAAATTTTCACTGATTGTGTAATGTTAGACTAGTTGAAGATAGACCAAAAAGACAGATAATTATGTCATTACCTTGCCTGTATAGAATAGCATTCACAGAGAATAACTGATTGTCATTGGCCAGTCTCACTCACTCCAAGTCTGTTAGTTTATTTCATACTAAACTAGTGAAATCATGAAAATAAAGGATACATCTCATTTACTCTAAAGGTAAACACAAAGAAATTGTGCCAAATGTGTTCTCAATATTTGGAATTATGTTTAAATTCTCAATTAAGGCCATCTAAGAAATTGTTTTGTAGCTTCTGATCATAATTATC